AAGAAATCTCCGAAGAGTTTATGATCACTGATGAAGGCAACTCTGTTCCGGACCCCAACTTCATATCATCCATCCGCTTTCAATCCAAGCCATCAACTTCCAAGTCTGCTTTTGACTTCGGATCATCTTCTTCAACCACTCCGGATGGTGAACCCAGCTCCAAACTACATGAAGATGATGACATCACCAAACTTGGTCCCTCCACACATACTTCATCACATCAAGCTCCTCCGTAACACTCAGATTCGGACTCCGAATCCTCTGCTGGTGATCACATTGACCCCTTTGCTCTCCTTGACATTCAAACCAATGTGTCAGATACGATGAAGAAGGTCTCCTCACTCAAAACATTCGTCACAGAGCTCAACACAAAGCTGGATCAAAAGGTTTCCGGACTGGATTCTAAACTCGATGTCATCCTTCAGTCTCTCTCACAACAGTCCGGACCTTCGGTTGCGGAACGAGAAGCCCAACTTAATCAATTAATTTCTCTCCGGCTCAAGCACTCCATCGAGGAGGTTGAAACCAAATATTATATTTTGGTTGATCGCTATCTCAACACCATTACCTCAATGCTCAAAGTGCATGACGACTTGGTGTCTACTACCAACGATCTGATTAAGCAGACCCACATTCGTCATAAGAAACAAATCCAACGGATGGAGAAGGAGATCAAGAAGAAGGATAAAATGAACCTAATCATTCAACAAGTCCTCATCAAGCTTCTTCGCTCCACTTGGAACATCGTTGATGTTCCGAATCGTAACTTTGATGAGATGATAGCTATTCATAGCAATCTGTTCGATCATCTTGCTGCCCAAGCTCCCACGTCTGAAGCATATGATACTCTCACTCTTTAACACGGGCCTTCAGAAAGTCTTCTCCAAATTTGATGATCTTAAGGACTCTTTACGACTTGCACCGGTTCCAAGATTCACCGATGCAAGAGGGGGAGAAGGTCCTAGCCAGCCATGGAAACCTGCCTCGGAGCTCACACTCCGAGATGAAGACTTAAATTCCGATGATGAAGTCCAAGTTGTGTCTGGACTTCTAGGAAATCCCTCTGATGAAGAAGAAGACGTTGAAGAAGAATATGTCACCAACGGAGTTCTTGGTCTCGAGGCTCCGAAAAAGCTATTTCCAAAGAAGTTAACTGAGGAAGAGAAGAGGATATGGTCCGCAGCTTCTTGGCCATCCTCTCTACCAGATGCTTTTCAAAAGGCCAAGGCCAAATCAACCCTCATAGCTGAAGCCTTCCGAGCCACTCCTTCTATGATCCCACCTATTCCGGCTCCAAAAATTGCTCCAATAGACCAGGGCTATCCACTCTGGATCCCAGATGACATTCCGGAAGATCCTCTTCCGCATCCCACTCCAGAATTTGTGGTGGATGAGAACATGAAGCTCATCATGGACGCTCTCAAGAGAAACAAAGGCAAAATGCCAATGACTGCTGAACAACAAGCCTTCCACTCCGGACCTCCTTTCAAGCAAAAACAAGGATGGTCTCAGGAGGAAATCAACAAAGCATTAGAGGACAGCATCCGGATCCAAGCTCTTAAGGATAATCCCGATCCGATACGGGGCATCTCTCCTCTCTGCCATGAAGGCATTCTCCAGGATCATGAAATCGTCCCGTGCTTCTACTACGATGTTCCTACCAACGATTCTGAACAACTCGATCTTCCTCTCTCCCCCTACAACAAGTATTACATCAAGTTTTCTCCTCTTCACCCAAATGATGATCCGGAAGTGATCATCCGGACTGAAAGAGAAAGGCTCGAGACATTCTACTCCAAGAATGCTCAACCGCTTAAGGAAGTATGGACCAGAAAGAGAATCACCAAAGTCCATGGATTTGCAAGAAAAATCCTCGTGAAATTCAAACTCAACTGCCCATTATTTTGATTTCACGTCTTCCGAAACAAGCCTAACTACCGAACCTTTTCTGATGCGGACTTCCCTTCCATGAATCCGAACGACATTCTGACTCTGGCTTCTCACTTTCGAGGAAGGCAAGACAACGATATCGGCAAGGGTTGTTTTCATGCTGCTCTTATCTTCCTCAAAGATTATGTCGCGAAATTTTGCAGATGCGACTATGAGCTGGCTCATCTCTACGGAACTGAAGACTACGTTGCAAAGATCACCTATGTTCTTCCGGAAGCTGAACTGCTTGAAGATGGTCCAATCGATGACCCGATTCTAGGATTTGTCTACACAACCATGAAGATAAAGAAGAAGGACTTTTTCTGTGTCCTTGACAAACACCTAGTCCCGACCAAAGCACTCCGGAAGTTCATCTCCCGTGCGTCAAAGTCTAAAGCTCCGGAGCAGATCAAAGCAAAGTTTGTGAGTCAACTGACTTGGTACATTGAAGTCAGAGAATGGTTGTTTCGGGCTTTGTCCTTCATCAAGGAATAAGCAGTGTAAATGAATGGATTGCTAAGTTCACTTAGGGGGAGATTGTTGGAACCTGAAATTGAACCTCTAGCAATCCTAAGTCCAAGTTCCGAAGTACTTGCATTCCGGCATAGATGTTTCGGAGTCATATGTGAAGAGTGGTCCGAAATCTATCCGGACCAGATGAGAAGAAGATGCAAAGCTGAAGGCATTCCAGAATGACTTTCATGTCCGGAATGGATGCTGATCCGGAGCAACTCTATTTTGTGTTTGTGCATTTATTTAGTTTGTCTCTGTATTGATGTGACATTTCATAGGACTTAGTCTTTTGTTGTATTTAGACAATCAGAATGTCAGAAACATTTTTATTGTCCGGTCCTATGTAAGTACTCTAGATAGTTCGCTGTAACCTTCACTCCTATTTATAGGAGCATTCAATACAAGTCAACTACGGATCTTTCATTAAACTTTTGGCATTTTCACTAAGTTTATTCAAAAAATTCTTCTTGTTCTTCATTTAATAGCTTTACCTTGATCATTCATTCTAATTTCCTCATTTAATGACTTGATCATTTGTTGAATATATTATCTAAGACTTGACTAGTCTTTCCAGGCTTGACTTGAACATCTATTAGTAAGCATACATTGATCTTAAGCATTCACTCAAGGTTTGAGTTCTCAAACCTTCTCTCTGCTCATCAGATCGATCTTGATCTCACACAAAGCACTCCTGTTCATCTTATTCTTTCTCAAGTTTCAACAATGGCGGGTTCATCTGAAAACATTTCTGCTCTAGATCAAACTGCACACTCTTCCTTTCTGGCAGTCAAACAACATCAGAACTTGGTGATTGATCTCAACCCAGTCAAGTACGATAGCTTCATGCTTCCTATGATTGAATGCCTCAAGTATTCTCCACTAACAATCGCACTATCCAAAATGGAGAATGTTCCGCTCTCAATCCTGTCAAAAGATTACTCTTCGGCAAACTATATTAAGGAAGAACAGAGGATCACGTTTGAGATCCACAACCGTAAAAGTTCCATCACTAAATCTCGATTCTGTTCTCTCCTACAACTTCCTCAAACTAATGACATGATCAAACCTGAGTCGGTAACCAATACCGCTCTTCTCGAAATGTTCTATCAAATGGGTTACAAAGAAACCCTAACCGCCGTTTTAAAGTTTAGAAAACCCAATATGCTTCCTCAGTGGAATGGTCTTTTCACCTTACTGTTTAAGGGTTTTTCTGAAAGGGTGACCGGATCGGATTGTGCAAGCAAGCTATTCATGGCGATTCTCTATGGTCTCTACACGGGTTCAAATGTCGACTATAGCTTTGTTCTTCGGGCTCAAGTGGTTCAGAGCACACTCTCCACCACACGTCACAGTGAAATCTCATGTGCACGTTTTTGGACCCTTATTTTCCACCGGTCCATTGACAAGCTCACAATCCCACTGATACAGGACACGTTGATGGCATCAATCTCTACCTTTCACACTACTGGGATTATCGTTTCAAATTCTTCCATGTTTTGTTTCATTGGTTCAATCCCTGAAGAAATGTTTCGAGATGTGCCTGCTTCTAGCAAAATCTTAGAGGGGTACAGGAAATTAACTCCATCTGGGCCTCGTATATTAACTGAAGAAATGCAAAGTATCATAGCTGAGGCTGACAAACCCAGAAAGGGGGGGGGGGGGAAGGTTCAAAGAAGGGAGAAAAGAAAACCACTGATAAGGAACGGCCATCTGCAACTACGAAACCTCCTTCCAAGAGAAAGGCACCAATGGGAACTTCTGTTGCTGCTCCCAAAAGGCAAAAGCAGCCAGCTCGCAAGCGAAAGACCCCCACTCCAAGTGAAAGCGAAAGCTCGGAGTCTGAGACACAGTCAGACATTCGCATCGAGGAGGATGATAATGTTCGCACCGAGGAAAATCTCGTTCGCAACGAGGATGAAAATGTTCTTAACAAAGAAGAGACATCAAATCCTGAGGTAACACAAACTTTTAACGATTATGTTCCTTCTCCTCCTTCACCTAAAACTACTTCTACCCCAATTACCATTGCGCCATTCCCTCCACCAGTCTCTTCGCACCAACAAACTAGCATTCCTCTATCTACCCCACTATTCATTGATTCTACAGTTCCACCTACTACCTCTACCACACCTCTTGTTTCGGTCAACGTATCTGATACGAGGGCTAAAACTTCAGGTTTCTCCACCCATGTTTCACCTCCTATTTCCCCTCTTAACCGAGATGACTCGGGTATGATCTTTTATGATGCTGAAGACGAAGATGCTGGGGGATTCACTTACAGTCCTTTCCAAATACGGACTGAGAGTGAAGATGATGTGCTTATTTCAAAAGGGCAACTTCAGTCCCTACATGAAAACATTTATCAACTGCTTCTCACTTCCCAGGCTTCATCTTCTGACGCGTACTCTAAAGCAGCAGTTGAGTTTCTCTTTGAAAGAATCACGAAGGAGCATTCTGCCAATGCTGAAAAGATGAATAAAGCAGTTGCTGATTCTGCTGAAGTTTGTAAGACCACGACCGAAAAAGTCGATAAACTAATTCCTAACACTACTGTCTTCATGGAGAATTTCCAAACCACCTTTAACTCAAATACCACAGCAGCCAATGAAGCTCTAAAGAGTTTGGGTTCTCTCTTTAAATCTGAGAAGGCTAAATTGCAAGAAAGTCGTACTGGTCTGAAAACTGACCATGAAGCATTTCAAACCTCCATCTCCTCTCAAATTACCAAGCTTCAAGACGAACTGGCAAACGAGAGTAACATCAAGGACTCTCTTTCCCTCAAGACGGAAGAAGTAAAGGTGTTAAGTGTTAAACTGGACACTTCAGAGAAACATGTCAATGATTTGTTGTCTCAGAGAGCTGTCATGCGAAGCTGTATTACAGATGTTATCGGCATGCTCTCGGATATCACTGAGACCAGGGACTCAATGATCACAATTTCAATGTGCAAGCATGTTGCAGAGAAGTTAAGTCCAGTCTTCGCAATGCTTCACAAGCTAGAAGGTGTTTCGGATCAAAGCTTTAATCAGAAACAAGGAGGAGAAGGTGTGTCTGGTGGGTCAAGGAAAGAAGAACCCAAAGCTCCAGTTAAACCTGTTTTCAAGCAAGAACCTAAGGGCAAGGAAAAATTGTTCAGTGAAGAGCCCATCGTTGATAATAGTGAAGACGAAGAGGAGCTGGATGAAAACGAGCTTAAAAAGCAAAAGGCTCGTGAAGACGCACTGCATGAGCATCAACGGATCATCCGAGAGGCTGAAGAAAAGGAAAGAGCTGAGAAAGAGGCTCAGGCTACTGTTCAACGCAAAAAGCTTTTATTTCCCAAGTGGACCTTGAAGCGAATCCAGCGTGATGCTGTTAATTTACCAAGACAGTATTGGTTAGAGCCAGTTCTGTCGTTTGATCTTCAAAACACACGAGACTCGCAACTGGATCTACCAATCACTCCAAAAGCCTTCAGGTTCCGTTCTTTTGTGAAAGTGGCAAACACTCCATCCACTCATAGCGGCGCTGATCACATGCTGTTCTCTTTTTATCTGAAGCATATGAAGCCGCAATACGAAATATGGTCTTTAAGCAAAATAACTGCTGTGAAAGTCACAGGACCAATCGAGACTGACAGCTTTCCGAACGCGAAGTTCAAAGTGGCAATAGGTTCAGCCAGTTAATGCTTCGAATTCACACTCGTAGACTTACCTTGTCTTAACCCCAATGACTGGTTCGTTCTTTACAATGTGTTGCTGAAAGACAAAGAAAAATACTAACCTGTCATGTATCATCTCAAGTTAATGATAAAGTCTTACATTCAAGAGATTGGGGAAATGGATGTCGAGGTTGCTGCTGTGTTGCGAAAGAAGCCTTCTATTGTTCATAAGGAATCTCGTAAGGACTTCGAAAAGATGAAGCTGGGGAAGATTTACAGTGGAGAATGGTTCGTGGTCTATCAAGCTAGGGAACGAACTGGTGCAGAATTTCGCAAAGGATGCTTCTTCCTTTCTGATAAACATTTATATACTACATCCTTTCTTGAGTAAATATTGGATTTGGTGAGTAAATACAAAGGCAACAGTAAGGAAGACCTCAAGTGCTCCTCTGATATGGTCTTGTGGTATATTGAGATTCGTCAGACCATTTTTTGGCGTCATTCCAAAAGTTTATGAAGTACAGAAGCGAATCCGAGGCTAATGGTTTCATGCCTCAATTGACGCAATGGGGGAGATTGTTGGGTATTAGATGTTGCGTCATTGGGGTTTTAGTTTAGTCTTTTATGTTAACGAGTTGGGCCTGTCCACTCGTATTTATTTCTAGGGTTAGAGTATTTATGATTCATGCATGCATCGTATTTTAGTTAACTTTGATATTTATGATGTAACCCTAATCATGCCTCTACAGTAGCAAATCTTCATAGAGTTCTTCTAAGGCGTGACATTTAATCATTCAGCATTTTTTGAATCATAGTTGTGTTCTTGTTTTACTTGTTTTGAATCTAAAAGATCTTTAAGGATTTTAATCCTAACACATATATGGGTAGTAACGACTAAGCTCATGTGTTAGTGTAAAACAATTATCGCAAAAGTTTCTATGTTAGGAGTAGAAAGCTTCGATGTACTAAGATGAGTATTTTTAGAGGGATAGCAATGATACTGTTTTTTTGCATAAACGAACTTCTCATTATACTTATAATCCGTAGGTTTTAGGGCACAACGTGTCTAGTTAATTCTACCATACTAGGTTAGAAAGCTATTACTAAGCATATTGAGTTCTTATCTGTATCGCACATGCACTAGCCATTGTGGCGATGAATTTTGCTCCGCAACTTGTGTCTGGAGTTTCTATCCTTTTATCTAGGTTTCGATCCTCCTCTACCATTTGAATTATGTTATATAGGCCCATGTCGCTTCCTTTGATGACTTCCATCTCAATATTGATGGTGTGAATCTGATTGATGTGATGTGTAGTGTAAGTGGCTAGGATAGGTATGACAGATTTAGGTGATGTTTTGAAGGGAGGGATAGGTAGTGAAGCCTATGGTGTTCTTCAGGCCTTAAAGTGGGACCGTATCTCATCCACAACCTTCTATTATCACAGATGTGCTTTATACTGAGACCTCTCAAAAAGGTTTGGATGAATTTTGAATAATAGTGTTAGTGGAGTCTCTTCCTCAGTGATGGATTCTAGCCTTTTCATCCTCTAGTTCCTTCAGAGTAAGTTTTGACTTTATTAATCTTATACTACAAGAAATCTTCTTCTTTCTTAGTAGGATTTGCCTTTTCCTCAGTAGGATCATCTTCCACGGAGGACTCGGAATGGTCTGAGGAGGGATCTTATGACAATTCAGCTGACTCTCTAGTTGTTTCTGAGGAACTATCCTCCTTGTGAGGTTCCTTGTCAGGGGTCAAAGAAAAGTATAGGTATGGGAACCTCAGGAAAATGGATATCCATGGTTAGAGAGTGGTTCAACTTGATCTTTCTCTTAAAATGGTTCCAAGATATGTTATCCTCACACAATGACCGTTCTATCTTTCTTATATAATAATGGTCTGAATTGTTGGGTTCAAAGTTTTGTGGGATTCTCGAGAGTTTCGTCTATCAACAACTATATCCAATATTAGTTATATATTTGTTTAACCATAATTAAGAAAAAGTGTACAATCTATGCCTAGTAGTTGTTCGACCCATATATTGTGCAAATCTCAAATATCGGATTTGACCTAAACTCTTCAGTTTGGGTTTTCTATCGATTTTGTTGGGTATACTTAAGAGTTTTCTCATCGGGGGATTGAGTTTGTGTGTGTGTGTGTGTGTGTGTATATATATATATATATATATAAGTTTGTTTATGTGTTTTCTTAATTCTTGTTTTGTATTTCAGGATTATCAAGTAAGGATCAGCCAGGTAGGAAAAGTCGGAGGGCAGGACCATTTTAGCGTATAGTCGTTCTAAAATCCAGCAACCTAAGCAACAATTTCCATTCTTGACACCTCTCCCGTAAGTAGTCTATCAGTAGTGTAATTAATAATAATAATTTTATTTGTAGGTTTGAGGAAACCTAATCGGAGTATAATTCCCTAGGCTAGAGTAGTAATTTCCTAAGGAAGTACTAGTTTGTTATAGCCAATAATACCAATCTGTCGCATCCACAGCCGACAGCGGCAACGTCGGGCTGTGCGACGTTAGAACGTTGGATCATAGATATCGAACATACAATGAACAGTACAAAACAGTATATAATATAAATAATACTTCCATTATGTATAAAAATATTACATCAGAATATGTTTCTGAAATACTAGGATTTCTAATACAAAAGGTGCCTTGACAGTTAGGCATAAGTATAATGAAAACAATTCTCCGGTAGCTTCTTTAATGAACCTTTTCTTCCAGGAGTGCAATCTTCCTTTTCTCAGTTTCCTAAGAATACATGTGGTTTTGAAAGGTCAACATAATGTTGGTGAGTTCACAGGTTTTTGTACTTTGAAAAGACTCTTTATACATAGCTTTGTTAAGTTGTAAAAGTATTTTGATTTCTTGATTTGAAAATAGTATTCTAGTATTCATAGGTACTAGCGTTTCCGTAATTCTCATTCATCCTATATACCATTAGTGTATCCATATCTTAGGAGTATACTTAAGGAAAAGAGTGCTTTGAAGAGCAGACTAACCGAGAGTGAACTCAATGTAGGTTAGTTGGATACAATCCAATTTTCACTTATATAACTGTGTACTCATGACGTAACTAGATATTTGATGTTTCCTTGAATAATTGTAATTAATATATATTTATTTTAAATAGATATCCTTAGCAAAGCCAAACTAGCGGAGGGGCGATATATCCATTATTAGAGTTGAGTGACGACATAATATATTGATATTATTTGTTTGGATCGAGCGTAGTGACAACATAATATACTACTATAATTCATTTGAATCGAGCGTACTGATGGCCTAATATACTACTCTCATCCGATTGAATCGAGCGTAGTGAAGGCATAATATACTATTGTCGTCTGTTTGAATTGAGCATAGTGACGACATAATATACTACTATTATTCGTTTGAATCGAGCATAGTGACGGGATAATATACTACTAACATCCGTTTGAATTGAGCAAAGTAACATCATAATATACTACTATTATCCGTTTGAATTGAGCGAAATAACGACATAATATACTACTATTATCCGGTTGAATATTCGTTAGAGTAACGATTAGACAAAATGTTCTTCCTTTGGCTAACACAAGGTACTATGTTACCCCAGAGGAATAGCCTAGGATAATGATTATGTACATTACTATTCTTTAGATTTGATCAGATTTAGGTACTATGTTACCCTAGAGAAATGGTCAGAATAACGATTACCCTAGTGATTTGATTAGCATACAAACTAGGTGTAATATTATTATAGAGTTTGGGCAGAGTATCCACCAGATGTAATATCATCATATGGTTTGTGAACATAACGACTAGGCATAATATTATTCCTAAAATTATGGCAGGGTAACGACCACACATAATATCATCTTAACGTTTCATGGAATTTCTAAACTACTGATTTATTACAAATAATAATATTTTTTAAAATCGATAATGTAGCATTATAATATGCATCCCCCAATCAAACTTTTAAAAACTGGTAAAAGTGGGGTCGTGAAGTCACCATTGGAGCGTGCTTTTATCGATATTCTCTCCTTGCCGAAAAGTGGTCAGAGGCTCGGGAGTGCTTGGACTCGAGGGAAAAAGACTAAATAATAATTAAAATGTAAAATAAATAGATTTTTCATTTTCTAAAAAGGAGTTCTCGAACAAGAACGAGAGAAAGTCTGAAGGAATTGAGTGAGGAGTGAAGGGGTGTTGGGGGATTTATAAGCTGAGAAACGGGTAGGCGCGTCGTTCCCTTCAAATTGTGTGTCGTGTCGTTCTAGCGTGGCTCTAGTACTCTCCTTAAACGTGTCCAAAAAACGGTGGTGCCGCGATACCCCCTTCTAGAAGGCCTGCACGCCGCAAATTGTGTTGAGCGCGCGCCAAAAATGCAGATTTTTGTAAATTGCGTAACTTCCTCATATGAGCTTCGTTTTCAACGTTCTTTATATCAATACGTAGCTATCGACGAGTACGACAACTATCCTTTAAGTTAAATTGGCTTATTCTGAATTTAATTTAGCCCTTATTTTTATACGTTTAAATAATTTTTCAAAAATCATATCTCTCTCGTACGGAATCCGATTTTTTCATTCTTTTTCTCAAAACTCTTATCTCGAGGACTACTACGATTCTTCTTTTTGTGAATTTAGCTAAATGTCAACCGTTATCTTCTTATTTTTTGACGTTGTACATTCCTTATGTGCGTTTGATTTCTATATCTTAGAAAATTTATATCTAGTTCATATCGAGCCGGATTTTTACGAAATTTATATTTCCGGGATCAGGAAGACGTGTACTTACGAAATATGTTATTATTTCTTCAAAATAACATAACTTTTTGCACACTTATTTTTATCGATTTCAATCAATTTGACTGAGTTTTCTTAGCTAAATTAATAAGAAATCTAGTATTTTTATCATAGATTGGTATATATTACATATTAAATATATTATATTTGATGTTTGTCACTTTTAGCGATTAACAACCGGTGACGATTTTCGCAATTGTTACAAGGAGTCCACATGGGATATCTATTCATCAACTAAGAATCAAAACTTAGTAAAGACCTCTGTATTTAACCATTAATCATGAGCAAACAATGAAGTTATGTATAGATCTATACAGTTTGACACCCCTACCCGTGGTTGCTAGCTACAACCGTTTCTTGGCGAGTCATAACGGGTGATAACCGTCTATTGTGTTTCGACGTCGATGAAGCATTTGGAGAACTTCTTGTGATGCATTCACTCAAGCACCAAATGGAGGATTGAACTAGTCATATAGCTCGGTAATAGTCTAAAGGTAACACTGAGTACACTCTAAAAGAACTCGTATAAGTTCAAATAATACTTATATGTAATATGACACATAGTTGTACAGTTAACAAGTATCTATATATTTTCTATAAGTACCATAAACACTTATATATATGCTAATTACACAAATTTTTGTTGTTATAAAACTTACATTATAAGTAAACACTTATGCATATCACAAATACTTGTACAGTTTACAAGTACAATTACACATAATTCAGGTAAGAACTTATACAGAGTAAATATATACTTTTTAGTTATAAAAAGTACATTTTTATACATGCTGAATTAATAGCTATATACATTATATAAACACACTTTTTTTATAAAATTACACAATGTCAAAACCCGTGAAATCACTAAATTTATGTTAACGTATTTTTTAAAACACATGTATTCTCAGGAACATAAGAAGATGAAATGTCACACATAGGAATACTCATGAGAGTTTTAGTTATCAATCATAGTTCCACCTTATGCATTTAATGCCTATTTGTTAAGGCATGCATCATACTTTTGAGTATTATGTAATGATAATGATGTACTCGTAGTACACAAAACAATGTAATCCTAGTTTCAGTATTGATAGAAGTTTATATATTATGTTAGTTATTTTTGTATTGTTTAATGTATGTTGTCACTATGATCCATGAATAAGTTGCACAACCCGATGTTTTGTCGTCGGCCGTGGGTGTGACAGATTGGTATAAAAAATGTTAGCTATAGAGAACTAGTATGTTTTTAGGAGTTTACAACTGTAGCTTAGGGTTCACGCTCTGATTAGGTTTATCCCTTAAACCTAAATATAAAAAGTATTATTATTAATTATACTACTGATATTCTACCTAAGAGATAGGTGTCAAAGATGGAAATGGTGTAGGGTTCTTGGATTTTAGAAAAGCCATACGCCGAAATGGTCCTGCCCTCCGATTTTATTGACTGGCTTATCCTTACTTGATAGCCTTGAATTACGGAACAAAAATTAATAACACACGCAAAAAAAATAATTACATA